TGGCTGTGACATCCTGCAAAATGTCTGTCATTAAACTATGAGGAAACAAAACCTGTGTGCCATCAGTCTCTTGTGGTTTGTTGAGAAATAGCAAAATGTAGAAAATAATATACACATACACATTTAGGAAATGGACAACAGCTCTCTGTAGGTGTTTATTCTACTTACAGTAACAAAAACCTGTGAAGTCCCATATTTTAATGTACAATTATATATTTTGCCATATAAAATACCATTTACAGAAATTTCTATCAAGTAAACCTAAACAAACACAGATTTTGCATACTTCGATGTATGTCTTTAAATTAGAAACATGTCATTAAGGAAAAAAATCTTACACCGTAGTTGATGTTTGCATTTTATATGATTTCTTTGCACATTACCGTTTTCCCTTAGGTTCAGGACACAGATGATCATTTCATCCAGCAAATCCTGGATGTACAAGGACCTCAAGGATGCACCAATGTGACTGTGGTGACACACACTCTACCTGTAATATAGTCCTCAAGATGCAAAATGTTTACAGGAATCTTAATTTTACATTTCCAAATCTATTTTAGCAAAATACCACAATATTTACCCAGCGGTCAATTTACACATTCAAATAAACTAGTGGGGGTTTATTTCACACTTTAGAATTGCATGCTTGAGGACTACATGGGAAGTAGCAATGTGATGTATTTCACCATGAAAAATGTCCCTCTTCAATTACAACATGATGTACCACCATAATTTAAACTTCAATGCAGCTGTGTCTTTTTCAGTGGAGAGTTTTATATACACTGCCAGCCTAAGTAGGGCCTAACAAAAGAACAGTATCATTTATTTTTCAAGAGCCCTTTTAGAATGAAAGAGCACTTCTATAATAAAAGTTCAATCACACTGGGACATTTCTTAAATCTGTGGGAAAATTCTACAAAATCTAAACAAACCCGAAAAATGCTCCACTAAACCAGTTCAACGGAAGTAACAGATTTAGTGGCCTATTTAACCAAATGCTCTTCCCTTCCTTTGGTTTACCACTTTTCAAAATAAATGTCTGATGCTTCTGTAAGTTTTGCTGGTTATAAAGGTGCTACTCTTGCATTTTCTTTAATGACAGGCTTGTAAATATGGGATATTTAAAACCCCATGAAAAAGAACTAATTATGACTTGTTTCTTTGCTGTACATTTAACAGATGGATTCCAGACCCAAAATACATGTATATAAAAGGAAGATAGTGCACTTTAAGCTTATAACATTCCATTTTCAAACCCTTCATCAGTCACAAGAAATTATTAACACTGTTCTTTTGCAGCCTTTTCCTAAACAATGACCCTTCCATTGTAAAAGAAACATGACACCAACATTTTTAGTGTGTGCTGTAGGAACAATTTTGACACCAAAATATCACGTAAAGGTATGGCTCCTCAGGTCTGGATTAAATTCTCCTATAAAATTACAATTCAAGTTACTGGAAAACATAACTTTATAATCTTAAAAAGCAATATGCTCTTCTTAGATTTTTTCCATTTCTGTACTGTAAATGGAAACTTTAAGATAAAGATGCAAGTAGAAAAAACAAAATTTCAGTACAGGTAACATCATGAATTTTTATAAGAAAAACTTTATGCACAAAATGCAGCAAGTGAAAGTCCAGTATGTTCTTGCTTTTCATCTATCTGATTATTTTCATTCACAGTTGTTCAAAAATTGCTTATTTGTCAGTACATCGGGTAAGGCTAGTTTTACAACAGAATTTTTTAAAAGGTGAGAAAATGTACAGTATTTACAGATGTGCAGTCCTTGCTGTGTTGCTGAAGTGTATTATTTGTGGGAAGTATCAGTCACAGTTCTATGACTGATTGCTGGAAGATGAAGCTTCAGTTTCCACTGGTTTCTGAGTTTCCTTCAGTGTTTCTGGCTTTGTCTCTTTACCAGTTTCCTTACTCTTACTCCTATCTTTGCGATCTTTCCCTCTGTCCCTGTCGCGATCTCGATCTCTGTCTCGATCCCTGTCCTTTTCCCGGCTTCGATCCCGGTCCCTGTCTTTCTCTCTGTCGCGATCCCTGTCTCTGCTTCTCGATCGCTCTCTATCACGTCTTCTGTAAGAGTCCCTCTCTCTGTTTCTTGTCCTGTCTCGGTCTCTGCTTCTCTCCCAGTCCTTACCTCGCTCTGAATCCTTGTCTCTATCTTTGTTTTGGCTCCTATCTCTGTTTTTATCCCATTCCTTCTCTCTGTGTCTCTCCCAGTCCCTGTCTCTGTTCCAGTTTCTGCCACGGTCTCTTTCCCAAGGTCTGCCGTGTTCTCGATCTCTTCGTCTTTCCTCAAAGCCTCTACCTTGGCGATTATCTGCTTGTTGAAGCTCTTGCTGATCCAAACCCTTATCTTTATTTCCTCCCTCATATCTCTGCCTCCCTTCAAATGTCTGGCCTCTATAGTCAGGGTTTTTGCCTTCTCGGAAGTCAGATGTGGGCCACTGTCCTTCCGACTCAGGTCCTTGTCCAGACATTGATGCAGATGGTCCACCTTCTTCCCACATGTCTTTTCTGTGAGTTGGTGGATGGCTTGGAAGGTCCAGGAGTGGTCTTGGGGGTGGTTTCATACCTTGTGGTGACTGACCCTGGTAATGAAATCTAGAAGGAGGCTCATCTTCATCCGGAAACATTGGAGGTGTGCCTCCTCTTGGTCCTCCAAACTGATGTGGTCCTGGGCCTCTCTGGTTGGAAAATCTGGGTGGTGGGCTCCCTCTTCGTTCTTCATATGGCTGTGGTAAAAGTCCCCTTGGACCAGGCATATGATTTGGAGCTGGACCTCTCTGCCCTTCAAATTGATTTGCGTGAGGTCCTCTTGGTCCCCCAAAATGACCTGGGGCTGGACCTCTTGGCCCTCCAAACTGAGGGCCTCCTCTCTGTCCCTTAAACTGACCTGGTGGGGGTCGTCTTTGACCTCCAAAAGGAAAAGGTCCTCTGTTTCCCATAAACTGGGGGGAATCTGGTCCTTCAAACTGTCCTGGAGGCCCCATCATTTCATCATATTGGGAATCTGAGAATTCCATTTGTTCCATGTGAGGTTCCCTATGATCTTCAAAATGAGATGGTGACATTCCTCTTGGACCACCATGATAAGGAGCAGGGCCCCTATTATCACCAAAAAGAGGTGGTCCATGCTGTGCAGAAAATAAGGAAGGAATGGGACCTTTCTGACCTCCAAATCTTCCAGACTGAGGTCCTCTTTGCCCATCATTGTTTGGAAAACCATGCTCTTCAGAGAACTGTGGTGCTGGCCCTCTAAAATTAGGTCCATGAGGTCCTCCAGGTGCATTGAGCATCATTGGAGGTCCCCCTTTCTGCCCAGACATAGAAAACGCTCGGTTTTCTTCAAAGTGCTGTGAGGGAGGTCCACCCTCACTCTGAGCTGGTGCAGATTCAGTTTGTTCTACAAACTGATGAGACTGAGGATTTCTTTGTTCATCATACTGCACTGACGAAAGACCCATCTCTGGTTCAAAGTGTCCAGCTGCCTTTTCCTGCTGAGGAAACATCGTATTTGAAAAGGAATCCCTTCCCATTGCTTCCTTTGACTCATTTGACCATGACACTTGATGCATATCTTGCAAAGATGGGCTGTCATTTGATGTGGAGAAATTAGGCTGAAAAGATGTACTTGGTGGGGTTGGAAGCAGCACTTTACGTACAGGTTTGGAAGCAGAAGGATCTCCAGAAGCTGTTTGATTCAAGTTTTCCAAAGTAACTTGAATGGTGTGTTCAAATTTGCTATTAGATGTCTCTTTCTGGGCCACCGTAGATGTCTGTTCACTTGAAACCCAATTATCTGCAGTAAAACCAGGCTGAGTAGTGGAAATTAAAGCATTATCTTCCTTACCAAGTGAAGTCTGCAAAGCATTTGGAAAACTTGGTGGAGCGACTTCTCTTGTGGACATCTCATTCTGTACTGCCTGTGGCTTTATTCGAGAGTCAGCGCTGTCATTCTCTGTCACCATCCTTCGAGCCTGTCGAGGATCTCTGTTCTGCCTTGGGTCACAGCTCTGGTTTAAAACCTGTGCTTGCTGATTTAAAGATGAAGGTAAATCTACTTTTTGTGTAGCTTGTTGGTCCTGATGGAATAATTCAGGCTTCATTAGGGAAGCTTTTGCTGGTGGAGGTGACATTAAAGCATCAGACACTGAAAAGTGAGCCATTGAAACACCAACAGCTGCTCTTTGTTGTCTGAGGGCTTCTTCTTGTTCCTCTAGCTGCCTTTTCTGTTCTTCTATTTGCTTGTTTAATTCTTCTAACATTTTTTGCTGTTCTACCAAGGAGGAGGATGCAGATAAATCGGACACAAATGAAGCAGATGCTTCTGAAGAATTGCTTTTACTGTCTGTATACATTTTGTTGGGTAAATCATCAACAGTAACTTTTGCTTCTTCCAAGATAGTTTCATCCTCTGGATCATAGGCCTCATCCTCTAGTTCTGCTGTAGTAGATGGCTTTTCCACACTGTAGCGTTTGTCACTTTCACCAGTCTGCATTTCAAAGGCTTTCTCTGGACCATATTCTTCCTCAGGATCATAAGGTCTGTCATCCTCCTCCTCCTCTATGGCTTTGTCCTTGGACATCTGCCCAAACTGCTGCACAATGGGATCTAACAGAGGAACCGCTGACATCCCACTATCTGCCGCAGCTTGACTTTCCTGACTGGAAGACTGAACAGTTCCAGAATCCTTGGCAAGGGGCTCAAAAGTTTTCTTTTTCCCAAAGAGGGTCTGCAGGATGTGCTCGAGAGGCGTGGCGGTTTTTGAGGATGAGGAGTGCGTGGCAGTGCTGCTTGCAGGAGCAGCTGTTGAAACCGGTGGGGTCACAGTAGCCGTGGGGCCACTTTTAATGGACGACAGTATTTTTAATACTGAAGGTGTCACTGCCGAGGTGTCTGGAATGGGAAGCGGGGGTGGAGGTGGAGGAGGAGATCCAGGTGGTGTTGTACTCATGGTGGAGTCTCCTGAATAAAGTGTGTATTTTGGAGTTTTCTTTTCTTGTGAAGCTGGAGGCCCTTTAGAGAACAGGGATGGTTCGGCTTCCTCATGTGTTTGAATTCTGCTTCGCTTCTCCTCTATTTTTTCTGTCTCAGTGGCAGGACGTTTCCCTTTCTGACAGATAACCAACCCAAGGATCAAATTTGGCCGAGATGATTCAAGACCTGAAAGAGAACACAAAGATTGTATATGTAAAAATCTGGTTTTTAATGATGCTTTCAATAGAAGCCTATTATTTTACTAAGTGGCAGGTACAAAAGTCATAAAGGTAACAGTTTTCTAAGTTCCATCAGACCTATTAGCAATTTTAATCAGTCTACAAGCATATGCATTTGTATTTCTTACTTTTTGTATGTATTTATACATAAATTGAAAAGTTTAAATTCCTTCCTCAAGATTTTTAATAAAGGACTGCAGCACCAGGCATCATTGTTAAAGTGTTTCTGCAGAAGTTCAACCCCAAGCAAGCTGTTATTTTTGTATCTTTACATTGTTCCTACTGTTCAACTACCCCCACCTCTCCTCCTGAAAAAGCAAATATTTACATTTAGTTTGCAAACATACAGAGACACTGAAAAGTGAGAAAAAACTTGGACTAAACATTGTTATGTGTCATATAATCTGTACTAAAAGTCCACATTGACACCAATCTGTAAATATTTTGCCTGTCTTCAAGCTAAACAAACACCAATAAATGGCAAAAAAGATCACATCAAACAGCGTTTGGAAACAGCGTAAAGATGGTAATTACTCCCAGTTTGTTGTGGTTTTTTCCAGCCAGATATTATTTAAAGAGGCGAGAGAAGCAGGGAAACTGTGGATGTCCCAGACAAGCCCAGGAGAGGTGTTTGGTTGGGCCAGTGCCTGGTATGGGGGCGAGAAGGCCTTGGGAGCTGCCGGGGATGGGGGGGGTGTCAGGCCTTGATAGGTCAGTAAAAAACACCATGAACAGAACTGCTGCTTTTTGAAGAGCTTCAGACTTGAAGGAGAAGTATGTCCAGAAATGATAAGAAAGTTTCAGATAAAGAGGAAAAATGCAAAGGTCTGTAGGCCTGTGTGCTGTATTTTTTCCTCTTACATGCACAGTCCCACTGGCAGATAAACATGCCTAGAATGAAGGGCAGGGATTAAATCCTTTAACATACAGTGATGGCAAATGTAGAAATCTTTTAACTTCTGGACCAAATGGTCTTTAAATGACTCTCATTTAAGGACCACTGCCCTCCGTGTATGTGCCACTAGTTACGATTTCTATTTAGCAGGGAAGCAGCAATACAGAAACATAAAATAGCCTATGAAATAAAAGATAATACTCATTGTGGATAAATGGTAATGTGAGAGGTCTGACTTATGTTGACCCTTCTATTCAAGAGCCCATAAGTAGGAAGTTTTTATATATAAGTTTTTCTCCTTGTTACACCAACTTCTCACTGAGCAACAATTTTAAATATCTAATTATTAGCACGAAAAACCTTTTCATACCAACACGACCTCCAAACCCCCCAGTAGCAGATACATTCCATTAGCAAACCTCATCACACATACATTAATCTGGTGAAACAACTCAGAAGTTTTACTGGGACTCCTAAATTTACCATCTAGAGAGGAAAACACATCAGCTGTTTTCCTAAATTTATGTTAATGAATAACAACTCCCCAGCTGGTGGGTGTTGACCAGTGCAGAGCATCTCACAATCAGGAGTTCACCCAGAAACTGCCAGTAGGCATTTGTTGTTCTGCTGTTGTTAAATGTTTTGATTACCAAATTTCATGCAGATACTTGTGATTTATGCGATTAGTCACAATGAATTTCAAACACTGAATAACTGAAATAAACAGGTGTCAAATATCCATCAGGCAGGATATCTAATAAACAGTAATTACTGAGATATCAGGTTTGAATTCCTGTAAGAAACAGAAATCAAATCACTAATTAAAACAGGGTAACATTTTAATACACTTTCAAGGCAAAAAATTCCAGCAGCAAGTTAAGAGCATTAGTTATAAATTATCATGTTTAGAATTTAGTCATCATAGAATAAATCCATTAAAATGTTTCATTTTGATACTGGAATTTTACACAAATATTAGACATTTTGCCCAAGCTGACTTCTACACTCACTCAGTTCTGAGAGATTAAATACTGCATGATTCCTTCAATGAAGACACATGGTCAGAGCAGCTTTCAAAGGCCACAGCCCCATTCTATCTCAATATCCATAAATAAGTTAAGTGCCTAATTTTAGGAACAACAGAATGTTGACTGCAGTCTGCCACTACTGCTAAATGACTGCCTTTCACAAACATAGGTTTTAAAAGTGCTGCAAGCTGTGCTGGCAGAGTTAGTAGTTTTCAGTGCTAAATTATTTATAACAGTTATTATTCTATTATGCATTTGAAATCCCCAGTCTGGTTTTATTGAGTTACTTCCTGTAACTAAAGCAAATAAAATAGGATCTACTAAATACTAATATTGAATTAATACTATTTTCCTTGGCTTTAAATATATTTCTTCATTAGATCAAGTTTACCATATTTATAAGCTGTATACTGGCCCCATCTTTCCCCATTAGCAGCAGCTGGTAAAAGCTGACCTGCACTGCTCAAAACACAGCTTCTGCCCATCCCTGAGAGACCCAAGGGAGGGACTAAGCACACCTGTGGTGAATTTTAAACTGCAGAGACCAACACAAGACTCTATCTGTATCTTATCAATGCCATTTCAATATTTGTCCCAATTAATCATGAGAGCAACTGACAATTGTCATCAGATTTGTGCCCCCTTAATTCAGAGCTACAGCTGGCTCCCAGCACTGTGACACTGCTCCACGTTCAGGCTCCTTTGCTGAGTGGAACTGACTGGCACAGAAACTCGGGTTTGTAATGCCACATTCCTCCACTGCTGCTGCTTTTCCTAATGAAATCTGCTCAGCTGAACACAACAAACTCCATTCACAGTTCAGGTAAAATTTTGGTGCATTTGTTTTTTTAAAACCATTCCAGCAGCATGAGGAGATTTCATGCCTTTCTATTTTATTAAAACTCACAGTCCCTATAAAAAACTACCAAAAGACATACCAGCATTTGTGGAATCTTTGCTGATACGTATATGTCTGTTTTATTAAAATTCAGCTACATAAGATAGTTGTTACATTCCCATCACCACTAAATCCCTTAAAAAATCACTTTCTATCAGTAATTAATTCTGATTATAGTACTTTTACAACTGGAAGTGGTGTGTATGTGAAACAGAGAACTGAATTCACATACCGTAAGCCACTGAGAAAGGACAGTGCAGAAGAGCCCATAGCACATAAAATCTGGTAATAAATATCTGAGTTAATATAAATCAGGATAACCCTCCATTTTCCTGTGTTTTTAAGCCACCCACATCAAAGTTTTCTGCAGATCTTCTAGGTACTAGCGCAGTCCTCAGTTGTGCTCCAAATCCAATCCATCAGAAAACAGGAGAAATTCCTAATCCACACGTGCCTGATACAGCTGGAAAATCTTCTAACTAGGATTTCTGGAGTGGCAGGGTTTGATTGTCCTCTCCCTCCTCCCCCCTCAGCTCATATTTATCTAAATATGACAGACCATCCAAAGGCAATGCTTTTCCAGGCCTTGCTAGACTCTATTGGAAGGCACACGATTAAATTTAAGGAGACAATGACCACGTTCCACAAAATATTTTTATTGATTGTGAAAGAAAGAAAACACAGTAAATTCCATCAGATGTCATTAAAAAGGTGTGGATTACATGCTGTGGTTTTCATACATATACAAAACAAGAGGAACAGCTTACCTGATTCTTTTCACTCGCTTTTAAAACACAACACAGCTTAGCACGTCTGAGATAAAGGCTGCCACAGGAGTTTCCAACAAGTGTTAGCTGATGGCAGAACTCTTTAGTGAATCTTCTATGAAACTGTCCCATCTCATGGCCTGCCTGCCGTTGGAACCTTGTTTCTGCTAACCTTTAACCTACTTGGCCTACAACTATTTCTGTCAATTTGAAAACCTGCATTATAATATTTGCCTCCATGAACACCTGCAGATGAGACCTGAACTTGTTCTGAGCAACTCCTTCCAGTTTTGAAATACTTGTGCACTTGAAACTCGGCAAAACCAGTCTGACATTAAAAATATCTCTTATTAACAGTAAAGTTTGGCTATATTTGCCAGCCTTCAATCCAAGGTAAAAGAGTTTCATTTGAAATGAAGCCCATAATGTAGAAGTTAAAAAAGTGTAAAACAGAAAGCTGGTATTTCCACAGGAATGCAAGCAGCAACAATTAGATAAACGGAGTTATTTATCAGACCAGCAGCAGACATTTATAGCAGCTTCAATGGCCAGTCCCATCCTTGTGCTACTGCCCAAAAAGGATGGTATTTCTTTACTTCTGCCTTGAAAAGCCAGTCCATGAATTAAGATTCTTTGCCTACATCCCTGTGCCAAGGTCTTTTGTATATGGTCTTTTCAATTCTTGGCTATGAAATGGGATTAAATTTTTTCCTAGCTTTCAAACATACAGTAAATTACAGACTCTGGAGTACTGAGATTCAACAATCCTAGTTATCCAGTAATTTAGACAGCAACTATCCTGCCTTTTTAGTTATTGCCTAAAAACAATCACCTAGTCTGTGCACTGTTCAAGGACAGATAGAAGAGATTTGAAGTGTATGAGAAAAATCTTGTCTGGGGATGCAGTACAAGCCCTCAGCCATCTCATGGAGGAAGAGACAGCACTTAACTCATGATGTTCCATTTGTTGAACACCTGTCCCAGCCACTGTTGCTCCTGCATTAAGCTCTGAGAATGCTTTATTGAGTTTTGTGCTACACTTGTGTCTGAGGGGCAGAGCTCACTCAGTCCCCCAGAAAGGTGAGCTCCTGTTGTTGTTCCATACCTACCATGCAGTGCCAGCCATGGCCATGACAATGGAGTTCTGCCTTCAGTGCAGCCTGCAGCTCTTCAGCTTCCCAACTTGGTATTTGCTATAAAACTTACATCCTTTTTGGAAACTAAGCATATGCATTTCCGTATCCTTAGATGAAGATGGCTCCAAATTTTGTAGAAGGGTGTTTCACAGCTGAATTAATTCTCATGTTCAACATGGGGCAAACTGACCAAACATCATTACAGCTAATTTTTTTTATCTAAAGATAGAAGAATCTAAGCCTAAGGAATGGGTCCCTTTCTCCCCAAAGGACTGATTTTCTGAAGTCAGTGATTTGACTAGAGTTTGATCCAAGTAGAACAGAAGATTTCAAACACCTCGTGCCCCACACTGCATGTACATAGTAACTCAGCATGGGCAGTGACAATGTAGTGGAAGCATCAGAAATGTTACCTGTGTCTTCACTCTGACTTCTTGATGCCTCTGTGGGATAAGTTTCCTGCTTGAATTAAGTGATGGTGAACAGCTTGTACAGGTCTAGGGTTTGTGAATGTAGGAGTTGCTGATAAGAGGGTGGGAGTTTTTTCTGGTGTTTTTTTTTTTTTTTTTTTTTAAATATAATGGCTGTTCCACATCCTTGACTTTACATGTAAACTCATTCTCCTAAGAGCATCTTGTTGGAAAGACTGAAGTTTGGACAATTTTATCTTAGAGTTTGATTTCCAGTTTTTCCCTAATTATGTACTTCAAAATTGGTATTATATAAAAGATTTAACTAATGATTACATTAAATATTCAAAATTTGTCTCAGATTGCCTTTTGTCTTGTGATTTTACCTAGCATTGAACCTCCCCTGTTTTGTGCTTACCTGGTCCCTCAAAGGGCAAGAGTTTGGAAGGAATTGGGTCCTTAGAACTCAGGGGGATCAGGTAGAGATCCTTGACATGTCTGTTGTTATTAGCTACAACACCAAAACGACCACGACTGCTAAAATAGGAGTAGAGAGAGATATAGGCAACTTCTTCTTCTTCTGTTGCAGGATGGAAACGAATCAAACACAATTCCTGGAATACAAAAGCAAAGTGGAAAAATTCAACCTGCAACATACCAGCAAATGAAATGGTAAAGGACAAATTCCAGAGGTAAAATAAACTGCACATTTATCACTCCAACTATGCCTTCAGGATAACACTCTAGATTTAAGAGACTACTGCTGTTCAATTTGCAACATTAAAACAGAATTATGTTTGTCATTTTCAGAAACACAAATTACTTGTGTATCTTATTTCAAACTGAACAGCTTGAGGCTCAAATGAAAAAGAAATGGAAAATTCTTAGTTTCATGTTTTTCTCTATAATGTCTATAATTTTTTCACCTCTGAAGTGGTTTTAATACTAAAATATTAATATTTCTTTAATATTTGAATTTCAATCTCCAATATTTCAGTTAGTAAATAGTTTGAAGATTTAATTACTGTGCAGGAAGAGAGATCAAGGTTTACAGCTTAATAAACACATTACTAAAATAAATAAAAAATTTCAAAGAAGTTGTTTAGGTAGTTTTCCATGCGTGATCTATGTCAGCATTTGTTGTTTACTACCCTGTATTATAAAAAGTTGTCATTTTACATTGTTGTCTATTTCTTCTGGGTTTTGCAAAGGATTTTAAGTGAATACCTTAGAAAGCGAAGATTTGAGTTTGCCAACATAATCCCAGACTGTCTTCGGTGAGATCCTCCCACCAATGTGAATTGTGTCAGGTAAATCCTAAACAAGAAGCATTACATGGTAGAGTGAGAAAAACCAAAAATTAAACCCAAAAAAGGTAGTGCATGTTGCCCCATCCCAGTAGCCCAGTGGATAGTTAAATTTTAGTAGACTTTTGTACATGCTTTTAAATTCAGACAGGCCATTCCTAAATTTGGAGGTATTTATGGCCTGTGACCCAAAGGCCCACAAGATACATGGAACAGGTACACACCCCAAACAGGGAGAGCAACAATACATCAAATAGTCCTGTATACCCATTACTGGCATTTATAGGAAAACTATAATATGTATATATATTGGTTTTTATAGAGAAGCTGCTATCTGAAATACAGCTTTTCTCCACATCTGCAGAGACCCCAAATCACTTGAATTCTGGTGAAATTCCTGCTATGAGGACAGTGAAAATCATTTCAGCAAAAGCAGTATTCCAAAGAACAAGCAAGCCTACTAAGTCCTAAACCATACATTTATGTTTGAAAATTCCTAAGTCACCTAAAAGGCCCTTGAAAGAAAAAAAGAGAAAGAAAAACCTTTCTACTGTCTCAGTATTTGCATGTATACCCTCTCAGAACAGTATCATCCAACTGGTTTTACTTGAAAGTTAGTAACAAGGATGATACTTTTCAAAAACAGCTGAACAAAATTTTCTAACAGATCACATCAGTGACCCATCCAGCTTGAGAACAGAACAAGGCACACACTTTAAAACACTGGCTCCTAAACAAGGAAGCTGATCTAAGGCCATTATCCCATGTTAGATCCTAACATATGTATAAACACGTTGAAAGACATTAGAATTCTTCACAGATTTGTAAGGAATTTTTAAAAGGCTGAAGTTTTTTTCTTGAGCTACTTTTCCTATTACTAGAAAGATGTCATTTATCACTGCTACAGTTCTAATGTAACTCTATAAACACACAGTGCCTCCAGCCTTTCTATCACCAGGAACTGCAGCACAGACCCATTCCAGACACACACACACCTCACTAAGATAATCAAAGCACCCGGAGACTGGATAGGCTTTAGTGACAAATTTGGCCACACTCTGCATGTTAATAAATCCTTTCCAAATGGTGTTGAGACGGGAGAGAAAGAGGGAAGTGTCGCTGTCCTGAGGTGAGTGAGGCTCTGCAGCACTGCAAAACAAATCCAAACAGAAAGGTTACAGAATGCCAGTGAGGATGGGTCCTTTATTTTAAATTTTCTTCCCTCCTCCTATTGATCTGATACTTTCTTTCGAATAAGTAACAAAATTTTTACTAGATGGTTCGTTAATGTTTTCCATCAACTTGGTACTAGTCAAAAAATCAAGGAATAGCAGAAAATAAACTTGTAGCTGCAGACAGGCAAAGAGATGCCAAAAGGTACAACTTTTATAAAACCAATTATAGACTTGTCATTAATTAAGTAATCAATATCCTTGCAAAAGAATATACTCAGCAGTATTTATTTTTACTATTCTGTATATTCAGGATGTGGAATAAATCCACTTCCTTTCAAGATGACCAATTGGTTAATTTAAATTTGTATTTAGATTCAAGAGTATTTTAATACAGGATGAAAATGCACCTCTCCTATGCATTGTCTTCCTAGATATTAATGTATATTAAGACCTCTAAGTCTGCATGACACCCTCGAGTTTTATTTCTCTGCTGGAACACTGAAGAATCTTTGTTGATACTCTGTGCATCTTGTTGATGCATACACTGATACTCTGAAAACTTTACCAGCTAGAGAAAGTAAATAAAGAGAGATGGTATTTTAAAACGTGAATCAGGCTCCCTGAACTTTAAACCTCAAGAAGCCTTTTGGTTGAAGGAAAGGGAACAGGATATGGGACACATGGGAATCTGCAGAGAGCCACAGGAGGGATGTGGCAGCTGCTGAGGATACGCACTTGATGTTGGGTGACTGATGAACTGCCAGGTATCTGGTATCTGGTGAGGAAGAGGGTTTGGTTAATATTGATTTGGGGGCAGCCATAACTGATTTGGAAGTTTCCTGTTTGGTTTCCCCCGTGGAGACTTTGTCAGCTGCGGGCCCAGGATGCAGGGCCGGTGTCACAGTCCCAGAGGAGCTGCTCATGGCTGTCCTGGGGTCTCTGCCAGAAACTGTCACAGTTGTGACAACAGGGCCAGCACAGGAGGCAGCGAGAGCAGACACCTCTTCAGGTACAGCAGAGTCTGTGCTGTTCTCGCTCTGGCTTGTAGGAATGGAAATTCCTTCTGTGGCTGGCTGGGAAACCGTTTCTGCTGCTGGTTCAACATCAATGTCCATTGCATCATCAGCGACAGGCTCTTTGTCAGGCTCTGCTGCTGGGGCTGCTGCAGGACTCTCATACTTGGCCTGCACTTCTGGCTTGGATTTCGACTCCACCTTCTTAGCAGAAGCCCCTGACTTCACCTTCTTAGCTGGTATCTCATCTTCTGATGCTGAAATCTGACCTATAGATTTATATCAAGCACTTTTGATTAGTATTTAATAGTAGTTTGGAGCAACTATTTAAAAAAACCAAATAAACAACACTTAAGTAACAGCTCTTTTACTTTGCCCAAGGTCAGCATTGTCAATAAATACCTGTACAGATTTTACAGTTCAGGTCAAAAAGATGGGCTCGATGCTGACTTGTTGTATCCTTCAACATGCTGCTAAAAACGTCTAGAGAAGGAGGACTGTTCAAATTGGGTGCAGCTCGCGTTGATTCCTGCTGTTCCTAAAAGTGATTGAGCACAAAAAAAATTACAGTTTATCATTAACTTCAACAATAAAGAATACTCTGACAGCTGTTAATTCAGTTTTTTAAAAGACTGCATAGAAGTCCTTGCTTAAAGCATATCATGTCAGTTGGAGTTATCACATTACATGTGTCCAAATTTCAAGCCACAGTGCTTTTAGGTAAAGCTCATGTTAAGAAAGAAAAGATTTTTCTGTAAATTGACATCAAGGGCTGAAAAATACACCTAATACTGGCTGTTGCAGTCCTTCACACTTGAATGCTCACAGCACACCCAGTGGGCAAATGATATCCCCACAGTTCAGTGAAACCATCTGCCCAAATCTGAAGCCTTAACTGCCATTGCTCCCACTCCACATCCTTATGCTGAAGGAACAGCCCCAGTACTCACATCAGAGTCAGATACTGGTGGAGAATCCTCCATATTGACAGCAGGCACATGTTCCCGTTTTACAGCTGCTTTCTTGATTTCGTGAGATTTGCTTCTTGACTCCACCTGAAAGAAACAAAAGTGTTGGTAAAAGCTCCATATATTTATTTTACTCTGTGCTTTGCTATCATTTGGTATGTGGTAGGGGAAAAGTGTATTGAAACTGAGTGTTATGAGTATTTTGTCAGGAAGAAAATGGTGCATTAATGTATAATGGGTGGTAAAGGCTGGCAAACTTGTTCTTAATTTGCACTTAAGGACATCGGGAAAAATTATGTTACTTACTGCCTTAGCTGGTTTCTCTTTCCACACAGACAGTTCTTTAGATAAAAGTTCTTCTGGCTTCATTCTCACCAGTTTTGACAGGGAGATCTCCTCACGAAGGACACGATGGAAAAGTCCCTGAAAACAGAAGAGACTTTTGCCATGCTGAAGGGAACATGCTCAGGTAACTGACAATATTAACAGTGTTGGACAGGCAAAACCTGCTCCAGTTTCTTAATTCTCTATTTATAATATCACCTACTTATAAGCAAACTTGGAAAGGTGCAGCAACCAGAAATCAGGGATGAAATAAACTCCAAGTATAAATATATCACATCAAATGCTCAAATGTATAAATACCAATCACCAACTAAAGGCTTTGAACTTCTACTTAGATAAAAATATCATTAAAATGCTTGCATGCCTTTCATAACATTTCATAATTTAATTCATAAGTCTCTATTTTGAGACTCCTAACGTTGAGGGTAGAGTCTGACATGCCATTCAAGCCCAAAAGCATATTTCTATACAAGTTTACTGTTTAAGACAATTCCAAACCTGGTTTTTGGGGTCTTTGAGATTGAACATGATGCTACGGTATTTGCTCTTGTATCTGTTGTCTGTCACTTGGAACAAATTAAACATCTCCTTCTCAATGTTGAGTGCCACTTTCCCTACTTCACTCTCTGTCATGACCAGGTCATCGCTGTCATTGACTCTGTGGCAAAAAAAACCAGGAATGTGTGGTTATGTCAGGGTGACACAAAAAATACATTTTTCAGAGCTGACCTCAGCTGCTCCTCATGCAAGAAGGGCTTGAGACTCCTTTATATGAAACCTCAAAGCCAAAGTCTATCTCAGGATCTTGAACTCTAGCACACTTTAATTACTGCAGATGGCCATGGAGGACACAGCTTTGGGAGACTCCTGCCATCTGGAGCTTCTCTGCCAGGAGTGACACAGGGAGCCCAAGCACCTGAGTTTCAGTCCTTGATTCCCCACTTGTGACCAGCATTTCCTTTTCAGAGACAATACCAGACTGCAGTGCTCTATGGCAAGTCTATATAGTTGTCATCTTTAATGTGGGAAAAGCTGCATTTTTTGGTGTTATTTTTTCCTAAGTGATAGCTGCCTGTTGACAAGAATTTCTTGTTGATTTTCATGTTGGGATAGGAGGGAATCTCTCCTTCAGTGAGATTTAACTATGGTATTTCCTGTACTATGTTCCCTACAACTCTACATCTCCAGATTTTAAAACTCAGAGCACCTACATTATAAAAACTTCTAAGATGTGATTTAATCCTTCAACTGTAATTGTCTCCATATAAATGGAATAGAGGTTTCTTTTTATAAAGGCTTCGTCATATGCACATTTATTTTCTATCAGGAATTTTTATTTCAAATATAAACCTGAGATGCTGATTGCACTTGTAGTAATTTGTTGCATAAATTCAATCCCTCAAAATTCCTTATCAAGACAAACTAAACTCTCCATGCTACTTCTAGGTGTAACTTCCTATATAAAGTGTTTTGAATTCCCACCTCTTCCACAAAATTTCTTTCAGGGATCGTCGAATATTCTGTCGAATCTGCGAGTTGGGCTGTGACTGGGCAGGACTGGCTGAGGCTTTTGCTTGACTACTTCCAGCTGCAGCTGACACAGAAGACAGTGAAGGCTTTTTGAGTCCTCCACTCAAACCGGAAGATGGAGCTGCTTTCTTGGCAACTGATGAGCCATGAGAGAGAGGTGACTGTTTGGAAGGAACACTGCCTGAGGAAGGCCAAGGTTTCTTGGGAATGACACCTTTGAAACTTCCAGCAGGTTTCAGTGGTGGTTTAGTTAGTGAGGTGTTGGAGTAGGATGGGGACTTCTTTGAAGGCAGATTTTTGGTGAGAGAAGAGGACTGTTTCTCCATGATAGATACCACAGCCTTCTTTGGTGCCAGCGTGGACTCTGCTCGATCTTCGTTCCTCTTCTCTTCCCTTTGAGCTGTTAAAACAAAGAGGAAAATACAATATTAAAGGCTTAATTTTATAACTCTGTATTCATGAAGACCAAATATCAATTTATAAAGAAAAGTCTGTGAAATACCATCTCTACTGAATAGCTACCAGGCAAGCAGTTTAAGCTATTTATTCTCACTTGCCTTGTTAAAAGTGATTTTTAAAATCATGCCATGGTTGACTTGTTTGTTGAAAATTTTGTGCAAAAGAAAAATGAGAGGGGGGGAAAGGCACCACCTTCAAAGATTCCTGAGTGGGATTTCATGGTTAAGCTTCAAAATCAACCCAAATACTTACACATATAAAAAATAAAAATAATGCAATACAATCCACATGCTACATTACATGAGAAGGTCTCATCAACACTTTACAGAACCAGTCAATTACCGAGGTTGACCTGACAACAAAGTCCATGAACTTGAAATTGCACTAGTATTACCCTAAGCTGAATATTACTGAAGTTTAATAAACCTATTCAGTTCCTAGCTAGAGTCTAGATTTAAAGAGTATTTAAACATTAGCACTGCTGTCAGGCTGCAACAATCTAATTCTCACCATTCTCAAACTATTCCATTCATAATATTCAGTTTTCCATTGAAAATTCTAATGTTACAGTAACTGATACACATCATATACAATGAAATTTACAAAGTCTAAGTAAAAGCTCTCATTTTCACACCTGTAAAAGATAAACTTGGCACAGGATTTTAAAAGCAAATAAGTTTTTAAATTGCATTTCATCTATACCACCTGGCACTGAAAGGAACAATTCAACCCAGCAAAAAAAGCCAAACCTCAAAACATACACATAACAGAACACAATTTCCAAGACATCAAATTTACATTAGGTAACATCAGCATATGGATCCTGAGAGCTCAAATGAGGATGGGTTCTGAGGCAAAACAACCAAAAATCAACTCCTAAAATAGAGCTGTTTCAAACTTTGTTGAAAGTCTGTAGCTGTATCTGCTCACACCCCTTAGGTGCAAAGTGCAGGACACTTCCTGGGCAACATCCAGGAGTCCCAGCAACTCTACCAAGGACCAACTGGTCCCTCTTCACCTTCCAGGTCTGCTCCGATGAGGGCGGCAATCACTGGAAAAGGCCTGAACTGTCCTTAGATGGACTTGATGGGGACTAAGCCCTCCTAGGGGGGGCCTGGTTCAAAACACCCCACACATCAGCATAAATTCCCAATGTAATCATCCCTCAAATTGCAGAAGGTTTGGCATTCTTAAGGGACAAATTATACTACCTTATTTCATGAAGAAATGGCCTTGCAAGTTTCTGCATGCCTAGTGGAGACCAGCACTTCCCTGGGCAGCAGCATGCACTTGCAGCAATGCCCCTCTCAGCCCCCTCCCTGTAACTTGCCCTTGGTGCTGGCAGCTTCCATGGACACTGGTGGGAGATGAGCCAAGAAACACCACAGGAGCTGACCTTTTGTTAGGTGAAGTGCAGGAGTGTATGCTCAACGCAAGAAGCCAGAAGATGGAGAGACACTGTATCTTTATCCCAGTTTTCTCCTAGAAGTGTTTTAAAACTGAGGATTTTTTTCTGAGCCAGATTAACTACTTGAAGTGTAAAACAAAACCAGCTGTCAAAATATATTAAATCATTTAATAGGCTGGGATGATTTTGCTATAAATGAAATGCAATTATTACCCTCACACTACCCCCAGTTTTCCCTAGACTGGCCTTGATTCCTGTCTGAGCGAGCAAGGGACACCTTCCACTGTGACCAACAGAGTCTCTCTGTATGTGTCCCCTAACATTATTCCAGTTGTTAAGAGACTCTGGCAATGCCAGGAGGGAAGAAGAGGATAAGGAACTATTGCTGATATGGTTGATTTGGTCAAGCAGGGTCCCCAGAACCCGAGAGATAACCAGCCAACCTATTGTGAGGTCAGTCTTGAACAGAGAGATGGCAAATATCCAAAACGTGTGCACTGGTAACACTGCAGAAATTTCCCATTCTCTTTCTCCTGGTTTATTTATCTTCTGCACAGAACTGTGCCTTTCCAGGCAGGTAGGACAGTAGCACGCTCTGTGACCTTACATGACAAGGCAGGACAGAACAGCTTGGCTTGCAGTGACAGCAAAATTCAATCCTCAGTACTAAGATGCTTAGTTCTTTGTGGTTACAGCAGAAGTATGACTGTAATTTTATTCTTAATCCTCTAACCACTATCTATGTAATGATTAGTTCACAGTAGTTAACAAAAACTACATTGATAAAACTAAAATCAGCAGAACCAAGATGTTTTGTATCCATCAGATGTTGTGTATATGTAAGAACTATACCTGCACTAAACACCTTTCTGTTCCAAAGAGCTATACCACAGTAAGACTATAGATTTGTAAAATAAATTAATAAATAAAAAAACCCAGCTCCTAGTACAAAGCTGGAGTGACATTCCTGAGGCTGAAGGTCACCAGAGTCTGTAAGGTCAAAGGACACACAGAGGCATCCTTTAAACCTGCCAGCTAACACCATGACTATTCTTAAGGTGTGTGATTTTATGCTTCTTTAGCCAACAGAAAACATGTAATTAACTCCCAAGCATCATGCACACCTGACTGTTTCAAGACACAACACTATTTTATACCAATTTCAAGTGTCTCCTGAGCAGGACTTGTTGATCAGACATGGATGGCACAGATTCTCTATGTACTAGCTCAGCCATAAATGACTCCTTCAGCTCTCCAGAACTACCAAGGTCCTGTTCAAACTGACACTGTCCAATCAAGCATGTGCAGGTTTTGGTAACAACTCTAGAATACTTAGATCTTCTGTACAAACAAATAATCTGTAACACCTGTACATAATCTAAAAAAAACCCCAACTCTTACTCTGTTTTGACAATGAGAAATCAGAATTTTTATCCTATCAAGTTTTGGGTTACAGTGTCAATATGCTGTCCCATAATTCAGCTGAAGCAACTCACTGTGCATTACATGGGTCTTAAATGCAACGCCCAAGAGCAGCCAGTGGAGGGTGGGGAAGGAGCAGCGCTGTCTTTTGGAGTGGCAGCTCACTCTCCTATTCATTTAGCCACAATGTGAGCACACCCCAAAGGTGACAGCACCTCCTGACAGGAATGGGAGTGTGGCAGCATTATGTTTGGAAGCACTAACAGCAAAATGTGCTCTTTTCTGAGAGCAGTGTGCCAACACATATGGAGCTTTACTTCGGAACAGATGCCAGAGCTGCTCAGCTAATGGATGAGACAGATCATGGACCAGGTATTCCCTCAGAACCATGACTTCCAACTTGGAAATGGCCAGATTGCTTGGCCCTGCAGTCTATGGGCAGCCTGAGAAGGCACAGCCAATGCTACTGCACACACTAGCCACTGTGTTTTATACTATTATGGTGGGTTTGGTCCTTTCCATCAGTAGCTCCAATGCACCTGTAATAAATACCCTAAACCAAATTTAAAATAAAAGGATGAGACAAGCACTGAACATCAGCCTATCCCACCTAAGTGATTAACATGGAGTTTCACCACTGGCAGTTTAGAATAAGGCATTTGGTGGTTCTTCTATTCAACCTTTTAAATACCCAGGTGAACCTCCCTGGCTTGACATCAGAAACACAACAGAAAAGAACAGTAACTCCCAATTGTCCCATTTTGTCTTGTGGGCCACTTGTTAGGACAGGAACAGGATCCTTACTGACTGAAGGGAGGCATGGACTAAAGAGACCGAGGTGCAGCTGCAGCTAATACGCCAGCACGTTCCCAGGGTGAAACCCAACAAGTCCTCTGCTAGAAAACTTCGCTCCTCCCAGGCTTAACAAACAGCATTGCTTGGTGTGCTCACTACAGGCACACACAGAATCTCTCCCACCAGGTGTTGACAGACACAGAACCCCTCCCCTGAGGAAATTTCCCCTGCAGTTACACTTGGCATTACAACACACAGCTGTGAACGAGGTTTCTGCATGCGGAGCAGAGCTTTCACAGCATCTGCTGGGACAGATGAGCCTGATGGTTCACATCTCAACACGGTGTCTCAGCACTGCCAGGCCACTGTGGAGGACCAATTAAGCAGGATTTCCAGAGCATAGGGTTGTTAACTTTGCATGAAGGATTTGCAGGTTGTATGTGTAGCCCAGTCCCTCACCAACACCCAGAGGGGCTGGGTTTCACACCACCAGCATGTACATTATCCAAAGGAAACTCTTGTTTCTTCTCCAATCCTTAAAGGATATTTCTGTATAGCATTTAAATCTATTCTGGTTCTTTCCTCTCCACCCAATCCTTCCTTGGATTTACAGCTTTTGAAAGCCACTTCAAAACTCCTGATTTCTATATAGGTTATCTCATTTGTGATGAGCAGTTTTGCTGAAACTATTTTTTTTTCATTTTTAAAATACTACAATAAATGTGCTATTTCTTTTCTCTGTTTAGTTTTAAAATTATTCAAATCACTGCTCTTGAAAAGAACATTCATTTCTGGCTCTAGTTGATATTAAAACTTTTAAATGCTGTGGAGATAAACCACAGGCTATCACACCTGAAGAGCCCATTTCACAATGACTCCAGTAAAGCTGGAGTTTTTTTTTTGGTGGTTTCTTAAATTAAGAAAAGCATCATAGCTCCTCTTACAGGACATTAAAATACTTCTGTGCAATGTGCCTTGCAACCATGCAGAGTACTGCAATTTCCTCTACTGAATAAAGATCTTGGCATAAGGCTGTTCATACACCAGCACTACTATCTCTGGTGTTGAATATCAACTTAATGTCTCCCATGTTCTCTTCCACCTACATTAATCTACTTTGTCTCCTCAGGATGAAATTCCTCCAGGCACTGAGAGGAGCTGACAGCTGTGTGGTGTCCAGCTTGCACAGAACTTTCTGCAGTGGGAGCGCAGGCCCAAGGGAGCAGGACGTCAGGAAGGCAGTGCTTGAGGGGGCACTGCCCAGGACAGAGGCAGCCCAAGTCTGAATGGGTTTTACTGCTCCTGTTCAGACTTCT